TCTTTGCCAAACCAGAATGCGAAAGAGAGCAATGCAGATACACAGGATACTACGCATGCCACGCAGCAGCAGCAGGCTGCACACTGCAAGCTGCCTACTTTGGTCCCTTTACCTGGCCAATTTTAATAACTTCAATTTCAAGATCTTTAGGTACATTCCCTAAAAGCTTGTTTTGATTTTTATTAGGTGGATGATAATTAGAACAATTTTTATCAAGAAATATTTTTAAATGATTCACTTGTTTTATTTCAGATATTGAATCATCAAGTGACAAATGTAATCGATGGTTTAAACAGTTCCAAATAATACTTTCAGGAAAATTTTCTAACAACTTTGTGGCTACTCCAGAATTTCTACCCAGCATTGTATTAGCACCATCAGGACAAAATGCAATTAAATTTGCTTTCAAATATTCATTAGTGAAGCCACATCATTTAAAGTACTAAATAACTTCAACCTATTGAAGATACATTCTACTGTGATAGAAACCAGTTCCTTTAAAGTAAGAAACAACATTAACTGGTGCAGGAGCTGACTATACTGTGCACTGGACATAAATCACGAGGGTCCTTTTCTTTGAAACTGTGGATGCCTCATCAACTATAACACAGATTTTGGCCTTCTCTTCTATAATATCCTTAAATATTGTCCTCTTCATTTCTTTCGCGACATGCTTTGCTATTCTCACCCCATTTCTGTCTTGTAATTCTATTGCCTCTGCAATATAAGACAAAGGTCTACTATGTTTTACTAAACTATAAACCGTCTTGCCAACTTCTACAGTAGCATCAATATTTTTATTACTTTTTTATGCACTAAATTAGAAACTGAGTCATTAATTGATTCCTTTAACAAATCCTGAATTTTACCACGGGCTTCAGAAATACCATGCTCCTTAATTTTTTTTTCGCAGAGAAGCTTGTCTAGTAGTTTTACTATTGCCATTAGGGGTTACCAAATATGCAATCCACTCCTTGAACATGTGGACATGGTCTTCTGCTTTTGATCCCAAATGCTAAACTGTTGAGCAATTCTTACATCCTAATTACTTCTTTTATTTCAAGCCATTTGTACTGTTCTGTAAATATAACCACTTGTTTTTCATTCCAACAATCTGGAAGCACAAGATTATCCATTTTTTCCTTTGATGAAGATGATGGCTTTTCTTCAATAATTGGTTGTTTAGCACATTTGAAATCAAATTCCTTTGACTCAGACAACCCACAATAGTTCTTAATACTATTGCTACTTTCTGTATCTGTTAAAAATCACCCTGTCATTTTGGCATCTTAGGGAACAAAATCTGAAAAATAATTTTACAAATATAAGTAAAATTCATGATAACACTTTTAGGGTTAATGCAAAAAGTTCTGTTAATGAGTTCTTAATTTTAGAAATAAAATTTAAACTAGCTTACCTTGATTTTCAGTTTGTGCCTATAACTACAATGACTTGTAATTTCTTGAAAAATCCACTATCAGTTTTTTAAATTCTATAGCCAATAATAATGTCACAAAATCTGACTTAATTTTTGATTATCACCCAATTCAACATAAAAGTTGCTCATATTGTTTACAAGTAACGATAGCTGTAGTGTGAAGAATGGTTGATATTTTCATGTATGTGATTAAGAAGAAAGTTTAAAAAAATATACATATCAGAACTCCACTCATTCATCAATGATACATCAACACTTTTGTTGAATCAATGAAGAGTTTTCAAATACTGCAAGATTTCCTCAATTTTTCGTACGGAATAGAGTCTAGTAGTTAGAGACATATCACATTTTTAAGCTTAATCCATATTAAGATTTCATCTAGCACTTTCTTCAGTTTAGACAATCAACAAATAAGAAACCAACCCCTGCTCTGCAGTTTGTCAACTACCTCGCTGTAAATGCTCCCATCATCCTTCACGAGCACACCTTTAGACAGTGTTTCTACCACACAGTACAACAGACGTAAATAACCTCAAGTGTGAAGACATTGGGATATGGAGAGGTTTGTGCATCTATTACCTTAAATGGAATGATAACCTATTTACTTTTAAATTTTTATATATCTGAGCTTTTTAATTGAAGTACAGTTGATTTACAATGTTGTGTTAGCTTCTGGCTTACAGCAAAGTGATTCAGTTATATATATTCTTTTCCATATAGGTTATTATAACACACAATAGGACTTTATCTTCTTTATATACAGAAGTTTGTATCTGCTAATTCCAAACTCCTAATTCATCCCTCCCTCCTCTTTCCCTTTCGTAACTGTAAGTTTATTTTCTTTATATACAGAAGTTTATCTTCTTTATCTTGTTTATATACAGAAGTTTGTATCTGCTAATTCCAAACTCCTAATTCATCCCTCCCTCCTCTTTCCCTTTCGTAACTGTAAGTTTATTTTCTTTATATACAGAAGTTTATCTTCTTTATCTTGTTTATATACAGAAGTTTGTATCTGCTAATTCCAAACTCCTAATTCATCCCTCCCTCCTCTTTCCCTTTCATAACTATAAGTTTATTTTCTATCTCTGTAAGTCTATTTCTGTCTTGTAAATAAGTTCATTTGTATCATATTTTAGATTCCATGTATAAGTAATACCACACTTGTCTTGTGCTTGTCTTTCTGACTTATTTCATTTAGTATGATAATCTCTAGGTCTACCCATGTTGATGCAAATGGCATAACTTCGTTCTTTTCTATGGCTGAGTTATACTTTAAGTTTTAATAATATCTATGTTTAACAATCAGCTCAAATTTAACAATTGATTCTTGCAAGCCAGTTCAAGCCACATCCAGAACATACTGTACTTAATGACAGAACTGAAGAAACACAAACATCACTACAATAGGTTCTAGGCTCTTTATCATCACCACAGATCAGATCAATGTATTGAAGAAGAGGTCGTGATGGTCTCTCCCAAAAAGGAAGTCAGCAAACTTACAAGTCATGAACAATCATTGAAACCACAAGTACGTTTACAATCACTGGGATTTTTTGGTTGGAATTGGCAAGAATTGCTATGAAGAGGAGGCATCACAGGTATAGCACAAAACAATCAGAAACAGAAGCGGCAGAGGTAAAGATCCAGAGAAGACCAACATGCAAAACGACAAAACCCAAAAAGATCCTAAATATACATAGAGGGGGAAAAGCCATGTGCTCCATGGAAACAGGAAAACAGTCCAAGTGTAATGTTAAAAATACAGATATCATGGTACAGTATTTTATAACTGGGATGGTTATCAATAATCTTTTAGATCTCTAAGCTCAAAATCATGGAGTTCTTTGATAGTTTGGCTTCATCCTCTTTATCCTTATGAAATCAAATATCAAATTTCCTCAATCCTTTCCTTACACACATACTACCTGCAACATCAATAAGGCCTTAAATACCCCAGTCAAAACCTAGATTTTATTCTACAGGCAAAGGAATCAAGTTAGTAGTGTTGAGATGGGAACCACAGAGATGTGTTTCAGGAAGATTAGCAGAGTATGAAATGGGGGATGATTAGTTAACAAGATAACCAACCCAGACAGACAGGAATGTAGTACAAACGCAGAGTGAGGGCAAGGAGAACAGTGAGCCAGCTGGTGGCCTCTTCTGTAGTACACTGGACTTCAGAAAAAAATTATACCAAAGATACCGGTGCTCTCTGCACTCCCCAATTTTCATCATTCCTTTCTTTCAGCATACTGTGTTTCAGTTCAGTTCAGTCACTCAGTCGTGTCTGACTCTTTGAGACCCCATGGACTGCACCACACCAGGCTTCCCTGTCCATCACCAGCTCCCAGAGCTTGGTCAGACTCATGTCCAATGAGTCAGTGATGCCATCCAAACATCTCATCCTCTGCTGTTCCCTTCTCCTCCTGTCTTCAATCTTTCCCAGCATCACGATCCTTTCCAAGGAGTCAGATTGTCACATTAGGTGGCCAAAGTATAGGAGTTCAGCTTCAGCATCAGTCATTCCAATGAATGTTCAGGACTGGATTTCCTTTAGGATTGACTGGTTTGATCTCCTTGCAGTTCAAGGGACTCTCAAGAGTCTTCTCCAACACTACAGTTCAAAAGCATCAATAAACAATACTGTGTTTAGTTTGGGGTTTATATATATGGCAATATACAGAGAGGATGCTATGCCATAATGCAAACTGATGGCTGGAAAATTAGATTTATATGAATAAACTAAGAAACGTAAACCAGAATACATCAAGGAGTAACATTCTTCTTGATAAAAGATATAAAAAGAACACAAAAATTTTTTGTATCTGAGAACACTCAAGCAGAGAGTTGTACCCAGTAGCATTTCATCTTTGCTGGATAGTACTATAAAAAACATAGTAATAAACACATCCTGATTGAACCCAGCATAGGATGGGGTGAGAGGAAAGTAAATACTGATCTGAATGTAGCTTAAAATAGAATTGAATTATAATTTTTCTGTGGCACCATTTAAATGCAACAGGAATATTTTTACTAGATTCTTCTTGTATTGCAATTCCACTCAGAGCATATAATTCACTTCTTATGGAGCTGTCAAATTTTTAATTCTCTGTTTGTAAACAAGCCTATTTCTATTTATAAGAGGTTCTATCAGGTTGGATATACACTCCTCTGGATGCAAAGATACAAAAAATTCTCTATATTTAAAATAAATTTAAATTGAATTCTAAACCTCAGCTGAACACAAGCTGATATACTAACTGTCAGAATTTATAACATAATTATGCACTTAAGCCTCAGAGTATGACACTAAAATTCTACCTATTTTTCCAAATTAATTTTGTAGAATTTTACTGTATTTCTCAAAGTAAAGCACACATATCATAAACACTTATGTTACACCTATCTAGAGGTCCACAAAACATCATCAAAGTTATCATGTCCTATTCATTGTCTTTACACCATAGTCAGAAAGAAACTAAACTATTTTTCCTAATGACCTCTGCAGTCCTCTTTCCTAATGTTTTTCAATATGAAAACAGACATCATGGGTCTTCAATTTCCACAGCTACATCATTTATTCCTCACCACATGGGGAGGCGAAGTCAGCATATAGTTCTTGGTACCGCAAAGTTCCAAGTGTCAAGAAGAGTATCACATGAATGATTTTGGGGAAGAATGTAAAAGAAATGGTCTGGTAAAGAATTTCTATATAACCCTAAGAAAACAACAAAACCAAAGTTACCACAATCCTTAGAGAGGGAATTTTGTTTGATTTAAAACCAAGTCATTTACATGGCTGCCCTAAGTCTACAGCAACTAAGAAACACACAAACATTGTGTTTCTGGGTTAACAGGAACCCAGTTCAAGAAAGACTATACATTTTTAATAGCAAACCTCAACTAACTATAATATTCAAAAAGAGTAGTTCACAGTAGACACATTCTCTAGCTAATTAAGATACTACTTTAAATAGAGACTTTGTAACAGTTTGGGAAAAAAAAAGTTGGGGATGGAAATTATCCTGAAATATATCACAACACCCCCTTTGGTTATTGCAACTAATGTTTTACTAACTGTGTTCACAGCTTCCTACACCCCTGAACCAACATGAAGATTCCTGGGCCCCACCTACAAATCCTGATTCCATAGGTCTGGAGTGGGGAGCAGGATTCTGCACACTTCCACTCACTCATGCTTGAAAACTGTCAGAAGGAAATAAACACAGAAAGATAACAGGATGCTCCTGTGATGCAGGCCCCTCACTGTGAACCTGGCCTGCGGGACTGTGATGTAGCAGGGTGAGCTCAGAGCTCAGTGAGGTCTTCAGGGCACCTGCCCCCACCCTACAGACACACACAGGCTCTGATGCTGACCTCCGGCAGCCCGCCTCCTTCTCTTCTACCTCCTTCCTCATCACTAGCTGCCCCTTCTCCCCAACCTGGGGGCCATCTTTCAGAAGTTACTCTGGTCTCAATTCAAACACAGTCTTAGGAGAACCCTGCGCACACCAGCGGGTCCACGTGCAAAGGAGAGGGGAAGGTGTGATCCAGGCTCCAACAGGCCAAAGGCCACAGTCTCTGCGATGGCTGCGGGGGCGGCCGAGATCTCTCTGTGGGCAAACGCTCTACTCCTGTGCCTGCTCCACGGTGTCCGGTCTGACACCCACTCCTGTGTCCTGCTCCTCAGTCTCCAGTCGGTATGAGACGTCCACACGTTTGCCGGACGAAGAGTGAACAGGCGAGGGGTAATCACATCGCGGCTCGTCACGCACAAACCCTGACTCGGAAAAACCCAAATACCGCTGCTACTTACACTCACAAACTGGATGTCATCTTCGTTTTCCTCCACGGTTGACTCGGACGCCTCAGGCCCAGCTGGAGGGACACATTCTAGTATCTATAAAACAAGCCAAAACACGGTTATCCAGACAGCCACGGCTCGCAGGAGGCGAGTTTCCCAAAAGCAATGAAAAGGCAGAGCTCTCGAGGAGACCGCCCGGAGCCCCCGCCCCCGCGACCCGCCGGAGAACAGCGCGGGCGCTGGGGACCGCAGGCCCCCGCCGGCCCCTTCTCCCGAGGAAGGAAGCCTGCCGCGGGGGCGACGGGCCTCGGCACCCGCGCCGCGCCCCCGGCTCCCCAGTCCCCCGGAGCCCAGGCTCCCCAGGACCCTAGAGCCCCCAAGTCCCAAGTCCCGCCCAGCACCTGCCGGACCCTGCACAAGGCCGGGCCCCGCCCACCACGCAGTTCCGACCCTGCGTCTCCAGTCTCCCGCCGTCGTCGCTGCCACCACAGCAGAAAAGACCGCTAGCCGCGCCCGGCAGGGGCCGCCCGCCAGGGCAGCAGCGCCCAGCCTCGCTCGCACAGGCCCCGCCTCCTCTCCCGCCGCCAGCGCCTCCTGGAACTGTATTCCGCTCGGCCAGCCTCGCCGCAAAGGCCTCTGGGAAATGTAGTTCCGACCGCGAGACCGCTCCCCGCGTGGAGTGGCGCGAACAACGAGCTATCGCGCTTGCGCTCCTCCTAAAGCCTGTGCTACTCAAGTAAAATGATAGGAGATCTTTCTTTCCCAGCTCCCCTCTCTCTTTCTCTCTCTCTTTTAAACCAAAACTATAGTCTAGATACTTTCTAGTGAAATAGTGGCCCGGATATTGTTTATAATTGGTTGTTAAGTTGCTCAATCTTGTCTGACTCTTTGCAGTCCCACGGACTGCGGCCTGCCAGGCTTCCTGTCCTTCACCATCTCCCGGAATGTGCTCAAGCTCATGTCCATTGAGTCGGTGATGCCGTCCAACCATGTCATCTTCTGTCATTCCTTTCTCCTCCTGCCTTAATCCTTCCCAGCATCAGGATCTTTTCCAATGATGAGTCGTTCTTCCCAGCAGGTAGCCGAAGTATTGGAGTTTCAGCTTCAATATCAGTCCTTCCAATGAATATTCAGGACTGATCTTCAGGATGGACTGGTTGGATCTCCTTGCAGTCCAAGGGACTCTCAAGGATCTTCTCCAACACCACAGTTGGAAAGCATCAATTCTTCATTGGCTTAGCCTTCTTTATGGCCCAACTCTCACATCCACAAACTGTAAATAGATAAAATGTGTGAAAACCAGTATTAACAGAGAACATGCAGAGCTTTTTCTCCTTTCCCATCAGTCTGTAGTCTGACAAACCTGCATCGCCACAGAATCACCTTTATGATCTGATCCTGGCCTGCAGTAAGCAAAGTCATATAGCGGTGGAACCATGGGGCATCTCAGGGGGTATGAATGCCATTATTTTGAGATTTTAGGGAAGGGTGTAGGGAGGTGAAATGTTAGTAAATCAGTGTTTTCATAGGGTCACAGGCAACTTTATGGCCATGTGTAAAGGGTTCAATATTAGGTCTGGGTTGAAAAGGGTCTTGCCAACTTGGAAACTTCAAGTTAATATAGATACTTGATACATGTATATACATACTTAATATAGATCATTTGATGTGTCCAGAGACTCCTGCGCTGGGCATGAGATCGGCTGGTTCTCTGTGTGGAAGAGACCAGCTAACAGAAGAGTATTTCACTCTTCTGATACATTTTCAAAGAACAAAGTGTCTCATACTCTGATTTTAGAGAACGAAGTTTCTCGTTGAGTAGGTAAAAAGCACTAGTTATCAAATCCACTTCGACTTTGTGCAGTGTTTCCTTGGAAGAAATCTTGTCCCATGTTAATGTTTCAGCTGACTTTATGTATGCCAGTTATTTTTGCCCAGCAGACATTTAATTTCTTGTAGGAGATCTCTTCTGCAGGTGTAAATGAGAACATGACATTATGTTCATAGCTGGTATTAGATTCAACTGTTTTCTTTTTTTTCATTTTCACAAGTTGCACAAAGAGTGAACAAAAAGTGCAGGTATATTTGTTCCAACTAAATTTGGGGCTTGTAGAGGAAAGGTGAGAACAGGATGACCTCCACAATGACCTCCCCAAAAGCTACAGGTAAAGTATCCATTTCTAAATCCCTTAAATGTCTAGGAGAGATTTGCATTTAAAAGGTTTTCCAAATGTTCTCATAAGCGTTCAGTAGAAATGCACTGTGATAGTTTGCTGGTGCAGGATGAAGGGTGGGGGTTAGTGGGAGAGAGGGGTGAGGGGTAGTGGGGGGATGGTTCAGTTAAGCTCTTGGGAAACAGCAGCCAAGTATGTGTCTAGAGCCCGAATGGGCTCACGACCTTCAGTTTGGTAATTGCTGAGGGGATGGTCTTTTCCATTTAGGACACTCAGATGGCACTAATGGTAAAGAACCCACCTGTCCATGCAGAAGGTGTAAGAGACACGGTTTGGATTGTAAGGAGTTGGGAAGATCCCCTGGAGGAGGAAATGGCAACCCACTTCAGTATTCTTCCCTGGAGAATCCCATGGACAGAGGAGCCTTGTAGGCTACAGTCCACGGGAGAGCAAAGAGCCAGACACAGTGGAGCGACTAAGCACAGCACAGCATAGCTATGACTAACAATGCTAAGCATCTTTTTATGGGTTCCTTTGCCATTGGCTTCCCTAGTGGCTAAGATGGTAAAGAATCTGCCTGCAATGTTGGAGATCTGGGTTTGATCCCTGGGTTGGGAAGATCCCCTGAAGAAGGGAATGGCTACCCACTCCAGTATTCTTGGGGTTTCCTAGGTGATTCAGTGGTAAAAGAATCCACCTGCCAAGGCAAGAGATGCAGGAGATATGGGTTTGATCCCTGAGTCAGGAAGATCCCCTGGAGAAGGAAATAGCAATCCATTCCACTGTTCTTGCCTGGGAAATCTCTTGGACAGAGGTGCCTGGCAGGCTACAGTCCTTGGGATTGCAAAAGAGTCGGACATTATTTAGTGAATAAACAACAACAGCAAGTATCTTCATTGATAGTGTCTGTTAAGACCTTCTGTTCATTATTTAAATGGGTTATTTACTTTCTTTTTAAAAAATATATGTATATTGTATTGAAGTATAGTTGACTTACAGTGTTTCAGGTACACAGTAAGGTGATTCAGTTATACAAATACACGTTATTATTTTTGAAATTATTTCACATCATAGGTTATTACAAGATATTGACTATAGTTCCCTGTGCTATATAGTAAACCTTTGTTGCTTGTGGAACATCTGTTTTTTAAGTAGAAATCTAGCGTTCTATTCATAGTAAGTCAAACAAATGGAATAAAAATGTCATAAACTTTTTAGTCAGGCAAAATTAATGCTTTCTAAAATATGTATTGCTGGGAAAGATTGAAGGCAGAAGGAGAAGGGGACGACAGAGGATGAGATGGTTAGATGGCATCACCAACTCAATGGACATGAGTTTGAGTAAACTCTGGAAGTTGGTGATGGACAGGGAGGCCTGGTATGCTGCAGTCCATGGGGTTGCAAAGAGTCAGACACGACTGAACAACTGAACTGAACTGAAAATATATATTATACATACATATATATGTATACAAAAGCTTTTCTACTAGATAAAGAATTGAGGAAGAAGAGCCAAAATAAAAAAAGATGAGATGGAGAAATTGGAGAACATAAACTAAATGAAATGGGAGCACTGACTATGAAATAGAAAAAGTGAAACAAACTAGACAAAAATAAAAGATCATCATATAGTCCAGTTTTTCTTAAATGAGAAAAAAAGCAATATCTTAGCATTTGTATTTTTCAAAAAATTTCAAAATCTGATATGCATCTGGATTTTAAAAAGTGATAACAGGTTTTTCTATTAGCTCCTAGTTTTGGTGATAGAGAGTTCTATTATTTTCTGTTGAAGAATCATAATACAATGGTATTAAGTAGTAATATTTACATAATCACAAGAGTAAAAGGTGTTTATCAGTTTTCACAATCAATAGCCAGGCAAAAAATAAAAGTTAAAATTGCAAGCCATAATGGGAACATGATTAACTTAACAATATAAAATAATTACATACAATTTGGGGGTTGGGGGGGAGAAGTCAAGCACAGTGATGTGGTAAGTGGGAGTGCATACATGCACATGTTTTCATTCACGCAGCCAGTCTATCTTGTTTGATTGGTGTATTTAAACCATTTACATTTAAGTTAGTGATTGATATGTATGATCCTTTTACCACTTTCTTAATTATTTTGACTTTATTTTCTGTAGGTCTCTTCCTTCTCTTGTGTTTCCTTTCTAGAGAATTTCCTTTAGCATTTGTTGTAAAGCTGGTTTGGTGGTGCTGAATTCTCTTAACTTTTGTTTGTCTGGAAAGGTTTGATTTCTTCATCAAATCTGAAGGAGAGTCTTGCTGGGTAGAGTATTGTTGGTTGTAGATTCTTCCCTTTCTTCGCTTTAAATATATCATGCCATTCCCTTCTGGCTTGTAGAGTTTCTGTTGAGATGCCTGATGGGAGTTCCCTTGTATGTTATTTGTCATTTTTCCCTT